CGGCAAATTTCGGAGAATAAACTGAATGCCAAGATGCGAAACAATCTAGCTAAGGGTTTTTCCTAAAAAATATAATAAAATAAATCGATCATAAATGAAACCGCGAAACTCACAACGCACATTAAAAGCACTATGTATTCTTTTTTGTATCATTAGATTATATCTCTATACATAATAGCTTTATCGAAGAGAGTAATTTTCAAGAAAACTTATAATTTTCATATTGTCGAATAAATTTCTGGATTAATTGTTAAGTAAAATTAAGAAAAAATTGAACATAAACAGCTTTTGAACGATGTCCTGTATTTATAAACTTTTATCTTTGTTGTACATATCACCCACCAAACTCTTTTCTATTAGTTTTCTTTCATATACACATGAAGAGATGATCGGAAGCAACAAAAACGGGCCCCCTTTAAAGGTTTTCCAAAATAAAACCCCAATTACTTTCCCGGTTACGAAATAGGTTTCAAACCTGTACAAAGATCTATATAGTTGGTGGGGGGAAATACATCCAAACCTGCAAACTTAGGCTAGAATCAATGTGTTCAATGCGCTTTTATCTGTAGGACATGATAGTAGGTTCAAAAGCCGCAAAAGTGATCTCTTAAGAGAGTTTGAATCTTCCTATTTCGTCTGAGTTGTTCTTGGTTCCGTTGTGGGAACGAGCCAAGAGAAAGCTTGATATCAGGGTCCTTAGAGCTCATGGCCACACCACGAGTGAAATGCTTTCTTCGGGTTTGCTCGCTATGACCAAGCAATTCACGAGCAACTTAGCAAATATGGAAAGACTACCAGATTATCAACTTTGGAGAACGATTTCCTTATCAATCAAAAGTGCATACAAAATGATGAAAACGGACTAATATACAAAATACTTTAAGTCCATTTTTTAGGAAGTCGCTGCTTCCAATATCAGGCAACTTCTATTAAATCTCCGCCAGTGAATGTTGACAGAGATTTTGCTGCTAACCAACCACCTAATCATTGGCTAAAACTGTATATCGGCACCAATCAGCTGCTTGTCAGTGCATTGCTTGGTTTATTATATATCGTCAGAAAGTTGAAAAAACTGTCATACGCAAGCCAAAATATTAGAAAATACTTTGTTAGTTGAGCCACATGGAAATTAATTTGTACTCGACTAGGGGATAGACTTACCACGGTCAAATGGATAATGAATATTACAAAAAACCTCAAACTGATATACTGATGACAAATTAACTCTCCGTTAGTTTTCGTTAAATTTTGCCGTCAGATAATGGAGTTGGATGATATGCAACAATTGATAAGTGTATCAGTTTGATAATTTATCGTGGTATTAATATAATCTAGTAAAAATTAACAGAAAATAAATTTATCATGGATATACTAATTTAGGATTATAAATTTGTCAAAGGAGAAAACTTACCAGCAATAGAGATGGCCCCAGTCGGCAAGCATATTCTTTACCAACAATTTCAATTAAAATATAGGTTCCGACAATCCCTAGTCTCTTTTTGGCAGGATGCATGTGCATGGTCGGTCGCTGTCCCATCCCATCTGTGATATCACAAGGGACTAAAAAATTGGACCCACATCTGAATTTGCACTGCCTGAGTCGGACCGGAATTTTTCAATCGTAAATGTGGCCAGGACCAATATATCTTCTTAGTCATAAAAACCCTTAACCCAAATTGCACTGCGCTCTTGCCATCCAACGGTCCAAGACTCTTCATGCCAATGGAACGGATGCTATGCAATAATTGCACCCGCGATTCCCTGTAGCAGCATGCGGGGAGGTACACGATGTAACGCAAGGTAGACTCCCGGTCTCACTTGAATTCCTTAGAGCCTCCGGCAGCAAGTACTTTCTCTTGATATTTTCTGGAAAGGTCACATCAAGCACGGTCGAGGGTCTCGTGGCAAAGTAGCAATCAGCCACTGGTCTAAAGCCTTGAAACTCAGCAATGAGTACGAAGGGGGCCGTTTGAGGTCACCAATGACCTCAAAGCAATAAAGGGATCCAAGGGGAAAACTCCCCAGTTGCGATGTTTTATTACTTTCTTGAACATATGAACGTTCAATTATATTGTCGTAATTACCTGCCAAACTCCCGAATAAAGGAGCGAAAAGCATGTTATAAATATCATAATTTTTGCACGGCACTTATTTGAGCACTGTAATTTTTTTTCGATTACTTGAATGTAATGTCATATAACTTTTAATTTGATAACTTTTTTTGCAAGTGCCGCGTCACGTCGAATTTCCGACACTTTGGTGAACGTTTGTTAAAAGTTATGACACTTAAGTGATTGATTGAAAATGCGAGTTAATGATTTATGCCACTCAAGTAAGCGCCATACGAAAATTATGATATTTATAGTGTTATTATCCTAAGTTAAGAATCTATTTGTTTTTGGTTTGATTAAAAGCAAAGAAACAACCTGTCATCTATCATCGCAATTAAAATATTATTTCAAACGTCAAGACATTACGAAAAACTTATCTGCGAATTTATATGTTAACATTCGAATGCAGTAAGAGTTTCAGGTATTGGAAATTGGAAAAAGCTGAAGTATGTGTATAAGTGCTTTTTGAGTATCAGAAATGTGCTGTAGAGGTTCGCCGCTTCCGAGCGTCAATGTGATCTTCGCCTATCAATATAGTTTAATGGCATCTATATTTCATCTGTTTTTCATTCTTCGATTTTAATTTCCTCTCAATTGGATAAGAGAGATTGAGTCGTAATCAATTTATTGCAGGACAAGAACTGTATGGACGGCAAATTTCAGAGAATATACTGAATGCCAAGATGCCAAACAGTCTAGATAACAGCTTTTGAACACAATATTATAGTTTTAAACTATTATCTTTATTGTACACATCACCACCAAGCTCTTTTTTGTTGGTTGTGCACATGAAGAGATGATTGGAAGCAACAAAAACGAGGCCCTCTTTAAAGATTTTCCAAAATAAAACCCCAATTACTTTCCCCGTTATGAAATAGGTTTCAAACCTGCACAAAGATCTATATAATTGGTGTAGGGAAACATATCCAAGCCTGAGTTAGGCTAGAACCAATGTGTTCATTGCACTTTTATCTGTATGACATGATAGTAGGTTCAAAAGTAGCAGCAGTGATCTCTTAAGAGGGTTTATTGATGACTTGAACGAATGTTTTAAAGTGTACTGTGACCCCAATTAGCCAATTAACTAGGCCAAACTAGAATTTACCTTGTTGGTGTAAGCGTAATTTACCAAATTGGTGACAAGTGGTATGCTCGTTTCAGATTCTTAATCGTGCACACTACGTTGTGTGTACCACTTTCTAGATAACTATGGAAGAGATAGCCTTTACAAGTAGATCGGTGTTAAGAAAATAAAGTTTCTCCAGTTGAGATCAGGAAGGCATTATTTGTTTAGAGAGATTCCAAATATGCAAATCACTTGTTTATTGGCACGGCTTGGAGAAGTTTATCTTTTCAATTGCGTTGATGATCGTAATATTTTATGGATTTCTTTTTTATGCTTGAGTGCTGTTTTTCTCATTTTTGCAGCATCATGAGATGGTGGAATTGATTGTTTGTGACAGGTGCGCTTTATAAGGCAGCAGCAGGGCCAAGATTGGCAGCAGCAACAACATCTTCAACCAGTCGTTATGTTAGCTTTCTTTAATATGATTTCGAACAAATGTAAACCCACTCGACCACAAGTTGAAAATAAGAGCAAATCTCTCCTGAAAAAAAGGGATCCACATTTTAAGCAATCTCAACTAAACTATGAGCCGCTGTATTACCTTGTTTGCGTGAAGGTTTGAATAGATTTCTCATCGGAAATGCCCTCACTTTCTTGTGATTCTGGCTCTCTGGCTCGTTGAATCTGAAATTGTGCTCTGGGGAATTTGCAACTGCTCTTGAAGTTGGTGTTATAGATACTCTTTAGTCCATATTAAGTGTCTCAATCACTGGAACTGGGAAATTGGCTGGTTTCATTCAGAATACTTTGCCCCAAAAAAAAAACTGTCCTGTAATGGAGCTAATTTTCATACTTGGTTGTCCTATCAAATTGGCCTTTGTGGACGTGTTTGTTCTTTTGTCGTTCGGATACGATTTGTTCAATTTCGAGAGTGTGTTGTTCTGATAAATGACGTGATATGATGGATGGTAGTGAGCTCACTTTGAAGTCTGATCGAAGCTATTGATGCAAATCATTGATTCTTCAGTTCCTCGTAAGTTTATTTTAGGTAAACACAGCATCTTTGAAGACATGGCCAATCGTTAGTTCCCGACCATGGGGATTCCTATATGCCCACTCGTGGTACTCTATTTGGTTGTTTTATTGAAGTTCTCGATATGACTCATGGGTTTTAAGGTTCTTGGATGTTGCTCGAGTTAAATACATCTATTGCTTATCTGACTTTCCAGTGGAACTTATCATTTCTATTGCACCTAATTTACATGTGTCGCATTTCCTAAAGAGTCATTCATGGGGTGTAAATGGACGTTCGTTAAATTCTAGATTTGGATATTGGGGGCATGTTTGGTAAAATTACATGTTTAGATTAATTAGCGGTTCCGTCTTGGATATTTGCTTATTTAGAAAGTTTCACATTTGCAGGATTAATTGTGCTCATGCTTGCATCTTTATGTATATTCATGAGTTTGCATATCCGCTTATTTATATTTCCTTTTATGCATTAATTAATTATAGGAAATACCTTTGCACGAATATTTTTCTAGACTCCCCATTTAATAGTTCACGGAAATCCTGTCTTGGGGCTCTATGACAAGGCTGTGCAAATTCTTTACTCGACTTGTATCGAATTTTGCTTACCGCACTTTAATAATGTCATTATCATCCTACTTTGATTTCCGTGCTTTCATTTTGATTACTTGGACGTGGATATGTCTATTTATGACCCGTCATGTTGAGCTCGATTGCGCATGGACACGTAGATGAACCAATTTAGGGAATTAAAATTGAAAAGACCCCATTTCCGATAAAGGGTGGTAATTGAACTATTAGAGTAACCAAGTCCCTAGATCCAAATCTTTGGTTTGTGAAAGTAAATCGACCTCCCGCGCTTTACTTGTCTCATTACCATGTCCAAAAGGTTAGTGTTTGACTCCCGAAGAAAAAAACACATGTCATAATTAATTGAGAAAACCAAGTTGTGATCAGAAGGTTGGGGGAACACTCGCCAAGTGCAAACAGCCCCTTGCGTTTGCGCCTGCTTGGCAATGTGTCAAACTTCCTCGGGGTTTACCTCAAGAGGGTCGCTACAATTTCGATGTGCATCACATCATGCTTAGAAATGAAGATCACGTGTGGGAATAAGTAGGTTGTATCTGTAAATGCAGACCGAAAGTTAATACTGAGTTTCTCCCACTTCTAGTGAACGCTGCAAAAGTAGTTTTCGCATATCAGAATTCTAGATATAAAGGAAAGTAGTCAAGTACGTTCCTCAACTTAGTAAATGTGTTCAAATGTAGTTTCCAGACTACAAGTGGAGGAGTGGAGTAGGAGAAGTAATCAGTGAGAGATCATACCTGGTTTTAACGAAATATATCGAGGCATAGAAATCTTCATGAGATCAAAGTATATAGAGAATATCTACAAAACCTCCCCCGGGGGAGTCAGAACCAATGAATCTTGAAGAAGTGTACTCAAAGTCCAAACCATCCTGAACAAATGGATGTCCCGAGTCAGTCGCAAGAATGATTTGGAAGAAGGCATTCAGATAACTCCAACACCATCTCCGCATAAACTGTAGAAGGGATTTCAGAACGACCATACTGACAGCAACTAAGAAGAAAATAGAAACGAGAACAGAACGACAGGTTATTCTGATTGAGTTGACAAATTTTATTTGTAAAGAAACGGTCGGTGAACGAGGGAATTTAGCTGCCCTTCATGATAGATCCTCGTTCTAAATTCTAATTCTACTTCATGACCATAACTCTCATCCTTCGAACTAACAGCAGCAAGAATAAGAAAGCAGTCGAAGATAATCACCCAACGAATACAAATCAAGTATTCATATTGTTGCCATAAACAAGCGATCGAGCACAATAATAAACAGAACAAGAAAATAAATCAGACACCAAATTTACTTAGTTCGGTCAGTGGGACCCACTTCATGGGAAGACACATGATTTTACTATAGATCAAGCAATGACTCACACGGTACCTACTCCTGATAATTCTTCACGAAACAATTTTAGAATCTCACAAATGAATTGACAAATCTTACCACAAGATTTATTGGTTTCAAAACACTTGCAATATCTTCATGACGTAATTCAGAACCACGCCGCAATTGTTACGGCCAAAAGCTCATCTGCTCACTGATATGCTGAAAAACAAAAAAACCTATGTCTTATGTGTATAACATTTGGGTTCAAAATAGGAAGACTACCCATCGGCTTTCCTTTATGGCTCAAACTTGGCAGAGATTTTCAACACTCAAAAAAGATGACTTCCGGGATTTCGTGGATGAGGTGCCAATAGCTGCCGGTCAGTTTTGAGCATCGCTCATTGAGAATCCCACATCCTTTGATCCAGAGTTGTTGCAGGGAGGGAGGGAGTCCCTCCTGGGGCAAGTACCTCAGCTTCGGGCATTGAATGATCCACAAGCGCTGGAGAGAGGGAGGGAGATTGCTGGACAGTCTTTTCAGGTTCCGCATATCATGGATACCAAGTTCGAGCAGAGAGGAAGGGAACGAAAGCAGAAGATCCTCCTTCTCTCCCACTTCTCCAACGCTGCCATCGATTGACAGATATTGAAGGGATGTGAGGAGGGTAAGCCACTCTCTCACTGGCTGCTTCATATTCCTGCATCGCATTACCGTAAGTCCCTTTAGCCAGGGCGGCAATCCTCCTTTCGGGAAGTGCTTAATACTCTCACAATCTTGAATTGCCATCTCACGAAGACGTATAAGTTGATGCAACTGATTAGGTAAGGATTTTATTTTCGGACACCCATAAAGACAAAAGTACGAGATGCCAGGAGGAAGAGGAGGGAAGCATTCCAACTCCAAAGCAGGACAGTTGCCCAAGGTCAAGGAAGTGAGATGGGATAGTGTGTGCAGGCACTCCGGTAAGCTTCTCACATCCTCGCAACACCAAATATTTATCACTTGAAGCGATTGAAGACGGTCTAGATCCACAAGCGACTCCACTCCACTACAGTTCAGCATTTCAAGTTTCTTGAGGGTCGAATATAAAAATCTACCCTCGCTGATTGGAGAGGTTGGCAGGTATTTGCATCCGGAGATTGTTAATTCTTGCAAACAAGATATCATGTCACCAAGGTTATTGTTGCTATTGCTTGGTTCATCCAAATGAATACTTAATCCTCTAGGCAATGATTGCAACATCTCGCAGCGTATGATTTTTAATGATATCACTGATGCCGGAATACCAGTTTCGGGAAAGGACACAAGTTTTGGACAGTTGCGGACAGTCAAGCGTCTAAGAGAGGAGAGGGTGTGTATCTTGCTTGGGAGCTTCTCTAAATTGAAGCAATCCTCCAAGTGGATAGTCTCGAGGTTGTCAGGCAGCTCTACATTTTCTTCTCTAGCCATAAAAGATATGAATTCAGGACAACTTTTGACAAGTAAGCTCTTCAGACAAGCAAGATTTTGAATTACATCTTTGTCTTGCCACAAGTACATTAACTTTTCACAACTTTTTATCTCCAACTTCTCCAACTTGATTAAGGAGCTTGTAATCCCAAGATTCAAGCACGTAAGTTCAGCAACATCAACTATGACAAGAGCGGTTAAAAATGTCATATTTACCAAACTATTTAGCACCCCCTCGTTACAACCTCCAAAGTTTAATTCATTGAGAAATGGAAGGCTAATGATAGAGGGCGAGTCATCCATACGCGGACAGGACTTGATTACAAGCTTGATGAGGGAGCTTAGTTGGCTTGGCAATCTTCCCATCAACATAGGACAATTCCGAATGACGAGACGCTCAAGACGGGGGAATAAAACTCCTACTTCAATGCCAAAGCCATGAGACCAGTCCTCCCATAATGGCATGTCCCTGAATTCCAGAGTTCTTAAGGATGGAAAATGACTTTTAGTTCCATAAAATTCAGGACCTACTGTGCATATTGCATTTAAACCTTCGATGTACAATTCTTTCAGTGAAAATAGCTGCCCGAGTGATGGTAATGCTTTAGCCCTATGACACCCTTGTAAATATAAATGCACTATGTTAATATGTGAGGGCCTTCCTAACCATGACGGGAATTTTAGGCCACCATAGTAGGATAACGTAAGAGTTTCGAGGTTTTTAGGAGGGCAAAGAAAGTTAAGGACCTCTGCTTCTAGCTCTTCATCCTGGAAAGTTTCAAAATCTTCACTCCATTGCATGGTCAATTGCCTTATTCCCTGCTTTGTGCGTAAGCTGGCATCCTTGGCATCACTGGCTTCTCGAACCATATGCAAATCAGAGATGCACAATTCCCCTTGAAGGTTTTCCAAGTTTTTTAACTCTTTCAACCTCGACCCATTTTTTGTTCCCACTACAAACTTGGACAACATCTCAAGACCCACCAAATTACCTATATACAATGGCATTGCTCTTAGGTTCAGTGTGTCCGTAATGTCTAGAAATCTTAAATTGACCAATTTCTCCATACCTTCTGGTAATTCGATAAGGTCTTGACAGCCCTGCAACATCAAAGCCTCTAGGTTGTACAATTCAACAATCGACTTTGGAAGCGTTTCAATATCAGTATACGACAGATTAAGGTACCGTATGTGCCTTAGTTTGCCAATGCAATCTGGTACCTCACTAATGTAATAGTGACTTAATGAAAGAACCCTCAAGTACTCCAATCTTGACAACAAGTCACATAGCACTTTCTGGGACACAAAAGACCTATTATAATGTCTAGGTTGCTTCCCTAATGATATGAAGCTCCTAAGTTCCCTCATTCCATGATATATCGTGAATGTTTTTGGCACAATGTGACGACCGGAAATGAATGAGGCGTGACGAGCTAAAGATGTGCCATTTTGATCACTCCCAAACTCAAACTCCCCTGAGCTAAAATAGGTTGCACCCGCAACTAGCTTTGCCAGATCATTCACAAGATCATGCATCAAGAATCTTGATCCACTGCTATTCGACTTTTGAAATAACGATCTAGATGCTAGCTCGTTGAAATAATTCAAACCTATATTCCAACGGTTCTTTCCTTCTTTTAGCTCTAACAAGCCCTCTGCAATCCACCAGTGAATCAACTCATCTCGTTCGATTTCATAGTCCTTGAGAAATATAGCACAGTAAGCGAAACATCTCCTCAAATGGGAAGGGAGATGGAGGTAGCTAAGTTTCAAAGCCGGAAGGATCTCATTTTCTGGTAGATCCCAAATCTTGCTGTTCAATAGAGCTTCCCATTCATGAAGACTGACCTTAGAACGTAGCAGCCCAGCCAAAGTTTTCACAGCTAATGGCAACCCTTGGCATTTTTCCACTATTTTCAAACCTAATACTTTAAGATCAGGATGATGATCGAAGTTTTCGACTCCAAGAGCATGAAATGCGAATAAAGTTATACAAGCATCTTGTGACAACCCTATGAGAGTATAGGGTCGAGCCCCGACAACTGAAGCAACGAGGTGGCTACGAGTCGTGATGATGATCGTGCTTCCCTCTGCTCCCAATTGAAAAGGCTTCAAGAGGGTTATCCAGTTATCATAGCTCTCGTTCCAAACATCGTCTAAAACGACAAAAAACTTCTTCCCCGAAAGGCTTTCCTTGAGCTTATCTTGAAGCCAATTAAGACTTTTAGCTTCACAATCCAAATCTCCATTGATTGTCTCCAGGATGCTCTTTGTAATAGCATGCACGTCGAAGTCATCAGAAACGCAAGCCCATGCTTTCACCTCAAAAGAGCTGGTGACTCTAGCATCATTGTAGACTTGCTGAACCAGAACCGTCTTCCCAACACCCCCCATCCCCACTATGGAAATCACTTTTGGATTTGCACATGTTCCATCATCTTCTTCAGTCAGTAATCTGAGGATCTCCGTTTTTTCAACCTCCCTAGCAACAAAACAACGCTCAGGCAAAGGCGTAGTGGGAATTCGCCCAATCTGTCGGCCGTATGCCGATCGATTCCCATTAATCTCTCTCAAGCGCAGAGCATTTATACGAGCTATGAGCTCCTGTAATTTGCCATCCATCTTCTCTATCTCGGATCTCATTTTGTGGTTGAACATCAATTCTCCCAGGCTCAATCTGAAGCAACAACTTGGAAGAAAGGAACGCGCCTTGCTAGTGCGAGGTTCTGCCTTGGACTTGTTTTCCGTAGATTCTGTGGTAAACTCATCAAGCAAGTCATCAATGTCGTAGGCTAAGTTCCTGAGATCTTCGAGCCATGATTTCACCTCGAGATCGCCGTTCAGTTGCCTGTCCTCTGCATCATCCAGCACCCAGTTGATACTAATCAGCATCTTCTCCCATTTCTTCAGCAACTTATTGATACCCCCGCGCCGCGCAAAGTTGAGAAGCTCGCGAGAGGCCAACCTCTCAAACAGCACCTGAAGAAAGGCGCCAAGAAAGAGCTCTGTGATGGGCATGGCTTGGTTCGTGAGCGGCAGAGGATTAAACAAGAAAGTTTCTGGATCGAAACAAAGTGTACAGAGCGGAGAGGAAACAAAAGTTCTTCCGTCCTGGACAGTAGCATCAAATGATGGCGTGAATCAAAGACTTTTCAAGCACCGAAGTACTCTTTCTTTCCTGGAAGAAGCTGCCATTGTATTTCATCTCGTCTCATTTGATTTGATTTAATTTAATTTCTTTTGCCTTAGTTTTTCGGAAGCAACTTGGTCGGACGTGGGACCCAGTCTTGGCATCATTAAAGCCACCAAAGGCTCGGAATGCAAAGAATTGGGCCCGTCCCCAACCCAAACTTCTTCTCCATTATTGTTCAATCAGTTCTCTCTCACCACTCGCATCACACGGTACCCAAATGCACTCATCCACCATCATCATGCATCACATAGATCATGTGGCATCATGGTTCCATTGATGCAGCCTCATGAAACCCATTGTTTTATTAATTAAAGGAGCAGTTATTACATAATTTAATTTATGTAGACGTAGCCATTGATCATATCGGTCCCAACATTATTCCGTGTAACACAAGAGCTCAACGCATCAAAAGCTACAAAAATTACGTAGTTGATTGCTCAACAAGTGTCCACAAACACTTGATAAAAAATTCATTTTTAGAAAATGACCAAAAAGAAAAAATTGTTGCTTTTCTTCATTGATATGGTTGCTACCTTGATTTGCTCCGTGAAAGATATATTTTGCTTAAGATTAGAGGGGAAAATTGAATGGCCTTAGAACGAATTAAATTGCAGACCTTCAAGCTTCATTTTCTTTTTACCTTTTTGCTAAGCAACGATGATTATATTCATAATGAAGCTTCCTCGTTTTATTTGGTCCGCGGGGTCAAATAAAATTTGCTTACTGTTTTGTCCCAGGAAGAGAGGAGCTACCTCACTTCTATATGCCCATCGACCACTCAAATAGGTAGAATTTGATGTGTGAAAATGAATTTATTAGCGTTAAAGAAATAGCTGGATCCCTAGATCACATCTTTTTGTTGTGGCATCTTATAAAAAAAAATGACTAATGTGGAGGAGTACGCTCTTAAAATGGCTCAAGGAGATGAACTAATTAAAACGTGAGAAAGTCGGTTCGGACACAACTTAACTGCTAAATCTTAAAAAATAAAAAAAATATCATAAAATGCTCATTGGTCTCAATGTCAAACAAAATGAGGAATTTCAAGGCAACAAGTTCAGATAAGATAGACTTATGTTTAATTAGGAGAATAGTTGGAGTACCTAACTACAATATGGCACTAGCTAAATATTTAACGAGCGACAATGATTATGTTCATAATGAAGCTTCCTCGTTTTATTTGGTCCGCGCAGTAAAATAAGCTATGGAATTTCCATGCGTCGAAATCAAATAATACATGCTTATGTTTAATTAAGAGATTAGTGGGAGTACCTAACTACAATTCATCCACCAGATAAATATTTTATCCAAAGATGGACAAATCAATAAATTTAACTAATTACAAGGTTTAAGGGGTGGTTCAAGAAGTGAGTTAGCACGAGGATGCGGTTTAAGGGGTGGTTTAAGAAATGGGAGCCAGACTACAGCAAGAAATATTGTGCGAAGGAGAGGAAGAAGGAATCAAACGTCATTCTCTCTCTAAACCTCTTCACCATTCCCAGATGCAGGCCCCATGTGCAAAGCATCGAAAGGAGGGTGATGATGGCAGCACATGCGTGGAAGCCAAGAAGTCAAACTTTTATAATTTTTATATTACTTCCCTATTTTCATAGTTCTTTTTGCACAAATAATTTATTTATTACTTTCTCTCTCTCTATATAAATTACTTTTCAGTTTTCTTTGCTATTTTATTTGTAGTTTGTATGTTATTGTTGTTCTTTCGATGCTTTGCACATGGGGCCTGCAACTACAGGAATCAAACTTTTATAATTCATATATTACTTCTCTACTTTCATTGGTCTTTCGCACAAATAATTTATTTATTACTCTCTCTCTCTCCATGTATATTACTTTTCGATTTTCTTTGCTATGTTATTTATAGTTTGTATGTTATTGTTGTTCCTCGGATGCTTTGCACAAGGGGCCTTTAACTGCACATGGTAAGGAGGGTAGAGAGGCAATGACATTTGATTCCTTCTTCCTCTCCTTCGCACAGTACTACTTGTTTTTTTTTTTTTTTGGTCGAGGCACGGTATTTGTTGTCTGGCCCCTATTTCTTGAACCAGCCAAATACAGGGTGTGAAGAGGAGAAATTACAAGGTTCCTATTGAGATGCAGTCCTATTCTAAAGGGATAATAACACAATTAAAAAGAAAGCAAACGAACCCAATTAAATCACTTTCAACAATAGCGTGCTATATTAATCATTAGGATTTATCTAAGAAACACTGCTAGTATAAGTCATTATATATAGATCTTGCAAATACGATGACCGCAAGTAAGCACCCACGTTCTCAATTCCACACGTATTGAATATGTGGCCTAGGACTATAGTAAATATACCCAAGTTTCCCCAAGTTATTATAATGTGTCAATATGACCTCATGAACCCCATCACATTATCAAATAATGGAGAAGTTATTACATGAGCTTACTTTATATAGATCGAAACAATCATCACCATTAATCATATGGGTCCCAATCATAATTCTATTTAACATGACAACTCAATGTATTGAAAGCTGCAAAACTTCCTGATTGATTGCTCAACTATTCTCCAAAAGCACTTGATAACAAATCATTTTTAAATAATGGTAAAAATAAATAAATATTTGTTACTTTCTCTTCGTTATTGTCGTTGCTACCTAAATTTGCTCTTTCAAAGATACATAATGCATAAGATTAGGGTAAAGAAATCGAGTGGCCGTAGATCGAATTAAATTGTAAACCTTCAAGCTTCATTTTCTTTTTCCCTTGTTGCCAAGAAACCATTATTATATTCATAATGAAGCTTCCTCGTTTTATTTGATCCACCAGGTCAAATGAAATATGATTATTGTTTTGTCCCAGAAGGAGAGGAGCTACATAACTTCAATATGCCCACCAGCCATTTAAATAGGTAGAATTTAATACTTAATAAGTCATATCCTATTATTATAGTGCGCGAATATTTTTATCGGTAAAAAAACAGCTGGGTCCTTAGATTATAGTTTTTGCTATGGCATCATATCATAAAAAAAATGGCCAATATGGAGGATTGCACTCTTAAAATGGCATGAGGAGCTGGACTAGCTGAAGCGTAGATCTCCAAATGTTCGGGAGTTCCTCTATTCAATCTTTTTCCTTCTTCTTGTTGCTACATATATCGTTCGTACACATCTTTTCTCTGTTTCCAATGCAGGCTCATGTTTCATTGGGAGAATAGTGGGAGGACCTAACTACAGTCTGTCTAGTACGAGCATTTTGAAATAGAGATGAAATTTTTTCCATTAATTTAATCATTGGTGAGTGTCCACCATAAGTTCCCAACCAAAATTCCCAACTCATTGTGTTTTGTCCCCTAGGTCAAAATTGAAGCAGAGGCCATCCTTCTCGCCGGCAACCACGGAAAAGGTCCTGTAGCTCCCGAACATCATCAATGGAAGTGATTGCAAGTTAGCCATTGATGCTCTACTCTGCACTCTCGCGCCTTGTCCTTGAGAGATTTAGCCTCTGGTCTATGCTTTGCTCTACTCTAGATAAAGGCAGGATTAAGTGTAACCCGGTCCTCCCGTTTCTCCAACAAATAATGTTTTCTTGTATGGCTATTTAGATGATCACTGAATGACATAACTTTCTAGCAAAAAAAAAAGAAAAAAGAAAAAGGAAATGGTATATTAAGACTCATTTATTAAATTGAAGAATTATGCGAGGTTTCAAACTTTTCTTAATTGTTGCATATGACTTTTTTGTTTAACGGTCCATTTACAGTTTGTTATATCGCTTGATATATCACTCTAGTTGACTGTTTCTAACATTATCTGTCGTAGTCATCTCTACAAATGGAGAGCGTTAGCTAACATTGACCGGTGATCGATTTAATACTCTACTCCTCTATTTTTTTTCTCCATAGCTCAAGTAGTTTAGACATAAATATATTCATCGCGTTCCTAACGTGGGATAGTGCATATAAAGATCTATCATCCTTCAAACACGAAATTGAATATGAGAAAATAAAACATTAATTTATTAATACGATCAAACAGTATCATAGAAGTTAAGGTAGTCTATCTAGTGAGTTTGGAAAGGTGACTTGATAATGGGAACATCATTAAAATGTCACCATTCTTTCAAAGTTTCAATATCAAATGTTATATCTTCAAAGTCTTTATCATTTCTCAAAATTGTTACACGATGTAACGCGAGACAACAAGCAATCATTCACGGGTCGAAGACATGGAAACATCTATCTACTAGACACGAAGTCTAACAATTTGCAATGTCTCGTTTCCATAAAAGAAGAATCTGATCAGTGGCACAGAAAGCTTGGACACCTTAGTGTCAAGTTAATATCCAAAATAGCTTCAAAGAAACTTGTCAAAGGATTGCCAGAACGAAGATTCAAGAGCACACAGTTATGTTCAGCTTGTTCTAAAGGTAAATAGGTAAGAAGTTCATTTAAATCAATAAATTATGTCACCACTAACCGAGCTTTGCAGTTGCTTCATATGGACATTTTCGATCCTACTCAAACTCTAAGTCTTGGAAGTAAGAAACACTGCTTAGTTATTGTAGATGACTATTCAAGATTTACTTGGGTATTCTTTTTAGCTCATAAAAGTGAAACATTTGAATATTTCTCAAAATTTGCCAAAAAGGTACAAAATGAAAAGGGCTATACTATTTCGAGCATTAAATCTGATCATGGAAGAGAATTTGAAAATCAAAATTTTTCTTATTTCTGTGATTAAAATGGTATTCAACATGCTTTTTCCTCACCCTATACTCTGAACAAAATGGAGTCGTTGAAAGAAAGAATAGAACTTTGCAAGAAATGGCTAGAACTTTTCTATTTGAAAACAAAACTCCAGCACATTTTTGGGCTGAAGCTGTATCAACAGCTTGTTATATATCAAATAGAATTTTTCCAAGACAAATTCTTGAAAAGACCCATTATGAACTGTTCAAAGGTAAAACCACCCGCCTGGGTGGCGCTGCTGGAGCGCACACTCTTCCTCTCGCAAAAGGTTGAGTGTTCGAATCCCGGGCGCCGCAGGGTGACTTAACCAGTGGCACGTGTGTGGTGGCTA